TTTTAAAAAATTTTACCGTGGGAAACATGAGAAAAATACATTTATTTTTATCAATGCGACGTCACAAAAATCAGGATTTCAATTTCCTCGCACGACCAGCCGACAATCCCACGACAATCCCAATCCTCACAATACAAGGCTCGTGCGTGTATATCACGACGCAATTTTAAAAAACCCGCCACGCGTGCACGTCGACCACGCGTGTTGCGTGTAGCACTACTAATCTCGCGCGTGGACAAAATTTCCGCGACACATACCTAAAACTGTAGGGGGCCGCCTTAAAAGGAAGACTGATTAATAGAAATTGGTCTTTTAAATTTTCAGTAACATAATCGTTTGTCGTCATCGATCCGTGTCGTTGAACATTGAAAAAAGTTGTCGTGAAATTAGTAAAGATAAAATTGCAGTTTGTGAGAAAACTGCAGGTCTATAGAGCGGAAACTTTTCAGATTTGAACTCAGCATGTTCGAAAGTGTTCGTTCTAGGCACTTTTCGTGGTCAACAGCATGCGGCCTAATAGTGTCGTATAGCTTTATATATTGTCGTATAGTCTTGTATAACGATGTATAATTAACAATTAGACAACGAAGCCGAGTTGTCTATGAGCGAATAGTCAACGAGGCGAAGCCGAGTTGACTATTCGTTCAGAGACAACGAGGCTGTGTTGTCTAATTGTTTTAGTATAAACCACATAAAGAAAACGGAATTTTTTACTTGACTTTTATGTAAAATAATAACGTTTTAACGAAATGAGCGTTTAAATGGCTTCCTTGCATGGCTTTGGCGACATTTCGTCTTGGCTTTGTTGACAACTACTAAGTGTTGCGAACTCCCAAGAATGACTTGAAAAATACAACTTGTGAGTTTTAAAAAAGTTAAAAAACATGTCATGAAACAGTACAATAGTAAGAGACCGTTATAGGAGCAAAGTTTGGTTAAGTAAAACTTATTTAAAAGAAGGAAACAAGGCTTAAAAAATCCAAAATTTCGAACACAAAATGGCTTCCCGAATTTTTATTAAATTAGTAAATAAAGTTTACGTCGTTAAAAAGCCGAATAAAAATGCACACACATGCAAAAGAATCCGATTATCCGAATGTCTTTGAAATCTTTAACATATCTGGAACATAAAGAGGCAAACTATTTCCATAATCTAGTATACATAGACAATAGTTTAGATTAAAATTTAATCGAAAAACTCGACTTAAAAAGGCTCGAAAAAGACGAAAAACAAACTCGGCCAAAATCTCAACATTTAAACGAGAAAAACTCTTTAAAATGACAGCTAAATACATGAACTCGTACTTAAAACAAGCACACACTAAAGAGGTTGAGAAAATAGGGGTAAATAACTACAAAGTATTGTTGAATTTCAACGATTCTGCTTGGAATATTAACAACCATTCTGCACATTTTAAAAAATCGCCTGTCACTTTCATGTTCAAAACTACGAGCAAAGTTGAGAAAACTTAAAATTTTTACCGCATATGTCAGCAGTTTCCAAGAGTCTTTGTTTGTGTGTAATCCAGAACCAAAATTAGACCATTTTGATAAGCTTTTTCCCTTTAAATACAGCTTTTAATGCTTTTAAAACGGCGATTGACTCTCGCGCCCTTCGCCGCTGTTGCTACTAGTAGGCTATCACTAATAGCCTACTAGTAGCGTAGCCAATCAGAACGCACGATACATGATAGCCTACTAGTAGGTTTATACTAATGTTGTATAGTCTCGTATAGCCTTACATATTATTGTATAGTGTCGTATAGTGTCGTATAGTCTTATATAGTGTTGTATAGTCTTGTATAACGTTGTATAGTGTCGTATAGCATTATGTAGTGTTTTATAGTCTTTTATAATATAGCATTTGTAAATTCTGAACTTCAACTTGGAAACGTCAGAAAATTTCTTTTTTATGTTTCTTTGTGCTATATTATAGAACAAATATAAAACATTTTTTCCGTATTGATATGCAATTATATCATCACTCGTGGAAATTAGGAAAACTCGAAATAGACCTTATGCATAATGACGTCACAAGGCTTGATGCCCGCGAGTAATGCAGGCTTTAGTAGTCATCGCCCGGGAAAATTTAACAATTCAAAATAGCCAATATCGAAATTTTTCCCGGGCGATGACTACTAAGACCAGCATTCCTCGCGGGCATCAAGCATTGTGACGTCATTATGCATAAGGTCTATTGTGTGAAAACACTCCACCGTTAGGGCGTCGTGTTCCCACACAATTTCTGGTTTTCCCAATTTACACTCGTGTTGATAACTTGATATAACTGTATATCAATACGGAAATTGTTTTATATTTGTTAAGTATAACATTGTACAGTGTTGGACAGTGTCGTATAGCCTTATTATAGTATTGTATAGTCTTGTATAACGTTGTATATAAGTTTATAGTATACAAATAATGAATGTTTTTATTCGTGCAATGGTAAGAATATTTTCATTCGGTGAAAGATGGAATGTTCCATTCAACGAGGCGATAGCCAAGTTGAATGGAACACATTCCATCTCTCACCGAATGAAAATATTCTTACCATTGCACGAATAAAAACATTCATTATTTGTTTTAAATAATACCAAAAGAGACTAATTTATTGAAAGGTTTACTGTAAGCTCCCGCCATTTTGGCGACTCGTATTTGCTTTAAATTCTATTTAGTAAGTTTCGAATATCGGGAGAGAATAAACTGCGATCACCGCGCGAGCAGCATTTTGACGGATGCGATTTATCGAAAACACAAAGAGTGCAATGGAATAAAACGTATAGTACAATTGCACTCGCAAAGAGTGCAATATAACGTATTCCATTGCACTTTTGGAAATGGAATTTTCTATTCTATATCACGTGACCATAAACAACCAATTAAACGATCAGAATTCAATAAGGTATTATAATTATAACATTGTATAGTCTTGTATGGTCTCGTATACAGTAGTCTCCATACTTCGTAAAGTGTAGTATAATGTTGTATAGTCTTGTATAGACAGTATAGTGCTGTAAGTTCATTAATAAATTCTCCTTCTAACAAGATATGTAACTTTTGACAGTTCTTTGTAAAAAACATTATACAGACAGACAGGATATATAATGTTGTATTATACCTCAAATTCAAATTGTCCAATCAGGAAGCTTAGTTTGTGCGACGTGAGCATGATAATCGCGATATCACGCCTTACGTCATCAATAAGCGAGCCTGCGTTCCTTTTGACAATGTTTCACCCCATGTCCCCCGGAGAACATGGGGTGGAACATTATTCGCGTAGACCACGCGAGACAACACGCATGACAACAACATGGCCGACAAAATATAAATAGTATTGATGAGTGATGAATAATCAAATTTAAACCTGGGGATTTTTTAAAATTTTGAAGCAAATTTTGAAAAATGTTGTCATTAATATTCCAAACAATATGTGATTCGAAAGAAAAGCGACGATACTTGCATTAATCCGGAAATAAAACATCGTATTCACGAAGGTATGTGTCAAATTTTTAATTTTCAACTTGGAGGCTTATAATTTTCGATATAATATATCATTTATAGACTCTCCGCTTGGGGGATTCGGCGAAATATTACCCACAGTGTTGATATTTGCCCTATAGTTTGAATATCATCAGTCATCACTTCGGTTAATATTTCCCCGAATCCCCCTCGCTCCAGGTCTATAAATGATAAATTTTTCCATTATTAATAGTGTTAATAGTCCTTGGCTCTTGTGCATTATATTATTCCATTATTAATAGTATTATTACCTGTGAGTCATTCTAGGTTATTACTCTGGAAGTGACCACACTTGACTTTGTGTCTAAGAATATTGCAAAATTCCGCAAATTAACCTTAGTGACAATCGCATAATAGCTAAATGAGTAGACTGAGGTAGCCCTTCGGGCCACATTGTACTTATATTGTTGGAGAAATAAGCCGTGGAATGACCCAGAATTACTTCATTTTTATTACCACTTATTGTTTGGAGTGCTCAGAAAATGGACCTGTTTCATTAGAACTGTTTTTTAATTTTAGATAATTAGTATATTGTTGTAATATATTTCATTGTTTAAAATAATTATAATAGTGTTATGTTTCCCATTATAGTGTTATTTTGTTTTGAATTATTCGCGGATTATAGACAAATTTTGAACAACCTAACCCAGAGGTTTGACCTTGTGGCAGCGATTTCCTTGCGTTAGTAACTTCTAATATTATATCTTAAATTAAAATTGTCCAATGAAAAAACAGCATTTGTACCACGTGGTTGGGTGATTTTTGTATCTGCGAAGCAGATATATATGCCATCGCAAACGTGCCGTGACCGTACCGTCCGTATCCCTAGCCATTCAGCGACGGGCTTATATAATTCAGCCAATTTATGCCAATTTTAGCCAATCAGCGATCAGTTTACATCAATTGTTTACATCGTGCCCGCATCTAACCTGCGAACGGGCATACTTTAGCCTCGTCAGGCCTCGTGTATAAATCGTGTTATTCTTTCAAAAATATCTTGATATTTTTATCAATTTATCTTGAATTGGCTGAAGAGTTTTCTCTACTTGCGATATCATTCCGAAGTTATTTATCAATATGAAATCTTATCCTCATCTGGTAAGTAGTCAAATACCATATATTATAGATTTAAATACCAAATTTGTGCAAATATATATCCCACATATTTAATACATGAGTTCGGCAAATTACTATACTATCTATAGTTAATATTGCCGTATCTTCGGCGTAGAGACTGTGTACATGAAATGCACTCTGGAATTTTTTTATTAATATATTACACTGTATAAAAAATTGGATATTTTCGAGGATATTTTAAGCCATTTGTCAACATACTTCACAAAAAGATTTATACAGTAAAACGATCCTTCTGTGAATCCTTCTCAAAACATAGCAGGCAATATTTATCATTTATAGATCTGGAGCGAGGGGGATTCGGCGAAATATTACCCGAAGTGATGATATTTCCCGAGGGTTTTTTGCCCCGAGGGAAATATCATCACTGAGGGTAATATTTCGCCGAATCCCCCGAGCGGAGGGTCTATAAATGATATATTATACCGAAAATTAAAAGCCTCCAAGTTGAGAATTAAAAACTTGACAGATACCTTCGTGAATACGATGTTTTATTTTCGGATTAACGCAAGTATCGTCGCTTTTCTTTCGAATCACATATCGTTTGGAATATTAATGACAAAGCTAGGGGTTTTAGGTTTGAAAAAGCCCCAGGTTTTAGGTTTAAAATTGAATTATTCATCACTCATTAATACTATTTATGTTTTGTCGGCCATCTTGTTGTCATGCGTGTTGTCCCGCGTGGTCTACGCGAATAATGTTCCACCCCGGGGTGGAACATTGTCAAAAGGAACGCAGGCTCGCTAAATGATGACGTAAGGCGTGATATCGCGATTAATTTCATGCTCACGTGGCACAAACTAAGCTTCCTGATTGGACAATTTGAATTTGAGGTATAATATTGCCAATGAACAATACCAAAGGAAACTAATGGTCTCGGGAGATATTGAATTAAATCCTGGTCGTGTATTTCTGTATAAACTCTGTTCAAAACAACAGTCCAACTAAGCTGTCATCAAATGTAGTGTTGGAGGTTAAAGATGTTATCAGTTTACAATACTTATACATTTTGGTTTTACACATTTAATAGAGTTTATAACATAGACGGATTTTCATATTTTTTACTGGAGTGGTACCAGAAATTTTAGGGGGGTGAGCCGCGAGCAGGTGACTAAAGCAACACCAGGGCCTTTTTTAAGGATTTTCCCGTGGGGGGGGGGCATTTTTTGAAAAGGGACCTTTCCGTGAGATAATATATTAGAGGGGGATAGCAATGGCAGAAGGCCACGTGTGTGGCCAATATACCACGCATGAATGGGGGGGGGGGGGTCTGGGGTACTCCCGCAGAAAATTTTTGAAATTTGAATCCCAGAAATGTCATTTCCTGCATTCTGAGCATCCAAATTTGGTCCAAAATTTATGCTAACTATACTTGTATTTGAAATAAATAAAGAAAAAAACGCACAAAAAGTAAAAAAAAAATAACCATCATTTATCATTACTTATTAGAGGAGGATAACAATGGTCAGGTGTGTGGGGGTGTATTCCCCCAGAAAAATTTTGAAATTTGAAGCATGGAAATGCCATTTCCTGCATTCTGAGCATCCAAATTTGCTCTAAAATTTATGCTAACTATACTTGTATTTGAAGTAAAAGATGGAAAAAATGCGCAAAAAGTAAAAAAGAATATTAACTGTAATTTATCGGCTTATTAGAGGGATAATCCTCAGAAAATGTTTGAAATTTGAAACCCGGAAATGCTATTTCCTGCATTCTGAGCATCCAAAAATTCTAAAAGTTCACTAACATTAATTGAGTGAAGATTCAATCTGAGCCATAGACGGATTTTCATATTTTTGACTGCGGTGGTGCCAGAAATTTTAGGGTGGTGAGCCGCGAGCAGGTGACTGAAGCAACACAAAGTGTCACCAAACCCCAGTAAGGGCTATATTCTAGAGGTGGAGCACTAGAGCCGCGAGTGGAAGTCTAGAGAGCAGAAAACAAAGTATCCCTGGAAAAATTTGAAAAAATCATGATTTCTAGCTTCGAAAAAAGTTTTTTGAAGTTGTCATATCAATGGATTTGGCCTGTCCGATTGTCTGTTGAGACTTGAGAGAGTTAAAGTTAAATGAAGCTGTAAAAGTGTAAACCCAATAGGCCAATACACAATATGCTTTTACTTTTATAAAATCATTGACATTGTGTCGTTTGAATCCGAGTACAATTTATGATGCAACTCCGATGTAAATAATATTTGGGACGTAAAGATTAAATTTAGGCAAGACTATTTCCTAAAAGAATTAAAACTAAAAATAATGTTCGTAAAATTTCGTAAAACGTTCTTTGCAAGCAAGCTATTTGCACGACAAGGCACTGCAAACTCTATTCAGGGGATATAATAGAGTTTCAAAACTTTACAATTGGTCCAATAAACCAGTGAATGCAAGCGAGGAGCAATTAGGTTCAGAGTATTACGTCTTTTTCTATTTGAGTGTACTCCTACGTTTATTTTGTATCATCAACACTCTGCACGTTGGAGTGAACTATTTAATTATTTTTTATTATGCCGAATATTGGGGGGGGGGTTGAAAATTTTTTTTGGGGAGTGGACATTTTGTTTCGGGGGGTTATAGCTAATATTGGGGGGGGGGGTAGAACCCCCCTGCCCCCCCCACAAAATCCGTCTATGGTTTATAATTAAACAAAATTTTTACAAACATTTTCAAATGCTAATAAAAGAATCCCCACCCTCCCTCCTTTAATATTACATTGTTATTTTGCTTTCTAACATAAATGTTTTTGTCTAGAGATTAATGCAAGAATGATGAATAAATGTACTGGATATTGGCTAGATAATTTTGTCAGAACAACCCACTTGCAAGACAATCTTACCTAAATTCATAAGTATCAATGCTATGGATACTGTAATAACTTAACAGCTACAATAATCATATATTATATGGATGGTCAGATCCATGGCACACAATATGTACAAAACTGAACTTGTGATACCTTCTACTCAAACCGATATTCTCCCACAACACAAATTGTTTTTGTGTGGATATGTTGTGTTAAACCGAACAGTGTGGTATATCATTAACTGTGCACAGGATTGGAATTTAATTATATACTTCATTCATGACCTTTAAAACATTTTCTACTATTCAGTGGTCTTCGATATATGATGGACTCTTTGCATCAGTATTGGAATTTAATTATATACTTCATTCATGACTTTTAAAACATTCTCTACTATTCAGTGGTCTTCGATATATGATGGACTCTTTGCATGCTACAGTATTAATGCATGTTCCTCAAATAGTTTGTGTATGGTACTCAACAGTTAACGTTGGCAAGTGTAAACAACAAGTGACAGAACTTTTGCTTTATATGATTACAATAAAGTTTTCAAAATGGGTATGGATTGACAAGTGACAGTTTACTAAATACACACTGGGAATATTGTTTGCATGAAATTTTTATTTTTTGACTGCATAATTATCCGAGTTACAATCATAATCACATAAAATTAGTTAAATTTTCGCGGGGGGGGGGGTTGGGGAGGGGGTTGAGTTGCCCCTGCTGCCCTCTGTGCTGTTTACAGCCTTGTTAGATTTGTACTATGTTTGACTTTAAAATCTTATTTGCTATTATATTTATTATAATAAGTGATGAAAATGTCAATCAAGTTGTTTCGCAGATACATGTACGCGTCGCGTACCTATTTTTTACGTTATTTCACTCAAATTCATGATTTCGCAATCCAGCGTGGGATACTATAATATCCCACGGCAGATCCACCGTGGGATATTATAGTATCCCACGCTCACGCGCGACGCGTGGACACCACGCTCTGAATTCTGAAACAATATGGCGTTCGCGAGCTCGTACAGAACTACAGAAGATTTTAATATTAAGTAAACCTAATATGGTTCAGGTATAGATAAGTTGTATTCACCTAGCTATTAATATTCAGCACGTTTATTCTGAACTTGATAGACTCTTACTGAGTTCTTTAACTTTCGGTATAATATATCATTTATAGACCCTCCGCTCGGGGGATTCGGCGAAATTTCCCTCAGTGATGATATTTTCCTCGGGGCAAAGCCCCTCGGAAAATATCATCACTTCAAGAAATATTACGCCGAATCCCCCTCGCTCCGGGTCTATAAATGATAAGTATTATATTTTCTCTGTATTGCCACAATTTTCCGAATGGCCAACCTGATTTTCGGAATATTTTAATTCCAAAAATGTTGGGGGGGGGGGGGTAATCCCCCCAATACCCCCTCGCTCCGGCCTTGCCTGAAGGGTCTTTGTAGATTTTTCGATGTGTGGAAACCTAAATTTTCGTCCCCAAAAACTACCGATATTGGACCGACGTGTTGGGCTGGTTGCGACGGGTCATCACATACAGCATTTACCTCGTTTATTCAGAATTTTCAATTATCAAAATGGCTGTGGACATATGTCCAGAGAACCAGGCAGTCAGGTTGGACGAATATGTTGTCTTTGGTACAACTTGAGCCAACAACGCGCCCACTGTACTTCCAGATATGTACTGCCATTCTTTCATAGAGGAACTTGGAATTAAATTATTCCTCATCAGATGCAAGCAAGGGATTAGAATTACAATAAAACTTTGTCGCTATGGCGATTAATCACATTATACCATTCAAATTAAAGTCAATATTTTCCGCTTTATTGACTCGTTAAACACTAAGAGTCTGTAATGTGGCATTGTTTACACAGTGAGGCAAAATACGTTTGTAGTCATATGACATGCAGTCTGAATGCAGCTGTCTTAAAGAGTTTCCTTCCACACGCAAAGTAGCATATAGACTACGATTTGAGTAATTTTCGGATAATACCTAGTCCTTGCTGCAAAGGGGGAATACAAAGCTTCGCTGTTGGAAATGTGTATCCACGAATCGAGCGGTATTTGAGAAAAGACAGGATCGAAAAAGCTTGAATTAGAAGGTAAAATGCAGTCCATACTTACATCTAATCTTCTAATCTAGGTACTAGCTGTCCTAGATTTCTCACGTCAACAATATATATGTCTTCACAAAATACCGTAGTTAACGTTAAGTTTATCATCGTCAATATATTAGTTTCGAAGTTTCGCAAATACTCTTGAAATTGTTTGGTTTGTAACCGGACGGACTGTCACAGCACCTGCAAAAGCAAAACCTATCATTCTGATAATAGTTTACAGGTTGACAATGCTGTAGCATTGAAGTAGAGATCGTCTGAATCTCTAGTCGAATGAATTTCTAGCATACTTTAATCTATTGATAATAGAACTAAATACAGTAGAAAGGAAAGGCACAAAGTTTATCAGGCAAAATAGTGTTGCTATTATTCTGGATATAAATTACCCCTATGAAATTCAAGTTGTTGCGTACCAAGAAATTTCGAAAGTAATGCCTCTTGTTCAGGAATATTGTTATCTACAAAATGTACAACATGAATAATGAGTATATGCCTGCCAATTAGAAGGCATGACTCTCGACGGTTTTGTAAATAATACATGACTTTGTTTCGCTGTTCAAAATTTAATCGATTGATTTTGTCAACATTACTGTGCTTTCTAAGAAAATGACAACTAAGAATCCTACTGTTTCTCACTACAAGCGGCAAGCATAAGATAGGCATCAGATAAGCAAGCGGATCCATTTGATGTTCACGCAGTTGCGTTGTTCTCAGAGACTTGTTCTTTAGGCACTCGGAACGCAACGTTCGATATTCCAGACTTAGGTACTAAGTGACTTCGGTGAAGTAGCGAGGACAGCACAATGTCACCATCAGTATGTTTGATCATAAGCTGAGTGACGAGGAAGTTTTCTAAGGCAATTAAGTTCTTATATGATAAGTTTCATTCGTGGTTCTGCATATGGACGTTTATCAACATTAGCCATAACAGTTATCATCTAAAAAATTGGCAAAATAAATGACTGTACAATTTGTGCTCGTCTGTATGGAACAGACAAAGAAAATTTGGTCAACAAAGTAATTTGCACGTGGTCGGTCAGTATTTCATTGTCGCAGTTGCTAATAATAGCCATAGTAGCGGACAGGAAAAGACACCAAAACTTATGACAGGAAATTTGGTGTACGTAAGCAGAAATTGGTAAAGTAAAATAAACTTCCCATATGTGTATTTGAAAACCTATCACAGAACGCTTACTCGTACGTATGTAAACTGTTTTTATGGCTTGTGAATATGGTTTTATCGAAGTGACCATCAGGCAAACGCATGGACATACATACAGGCAAACGCATGGACATGCATGTCTGCCAAGAACTACATGTAAAATTCACAGAAAATTTCTATATATATTTGAAGATTGACAATTTCAATTCAAACTTGTTTTGCTTTCTACTGCAAGGGCTGCAGGTTCGATTCCAGCCAGATTACCTAGTAATGCATTTTTCACAGCCGTTCCTGGTTAGACCTTAAATTTTATACATATGTATGTATGATCACGTGGATTATCCACCAAACACAGTATCCTATATGGGTGGGCGTAATTCTTACTTAGTTTCCCTATCCGGAATGTGATATTCTTAGTAATTTCGCCTTTTTGAATGAGGAATTGCGTAGGCATGGGTTGGGGGCACTTTTCATAACACCGGATATCCACCTAAACTAATCAACTGAATACAAAAAATCTTGCGGCAAGACTAATATCCCACAGGTAATTTCCCGCATTTTACTCAGTATGAAATGTAATTATTCTTGCATTACACGTTGGATTCAAATAATATACTGATTTGAGGGGACACTATATATATATATATATGTCAGCAAAGGCTGCCAAGCAAAAGAGTAAATCCATTTACCAAGTCAAGTCAAATTGAATAAAATTCGCAGTCGAATACGGTTAGGATTAGGGACTAAATCATTGAACTACTAGAAAATACATGCATGCATAAACCCTCGCATTGCTGACAAAACCATGCATTGTATTTTCCAAACATAGTCATTATGGTAACACGATAATTTTTTAGAATATTTTTACAAATGAAAATCCCCTACAAATATCACTTTTAATTACAAAATTATCAATTTCTCAAACATACATATGTTAGGTATGTTATTTTACGTAATGTAAACTTCAATTTAAGGTAAAATGCAAGCACAAATTCTTCTTTACTGGGGGGGCAAATTCTTTCCCTTGGGGGGGGGGGAATTGGGCCCCCGGAAATATAGTTAAAAAAGGCACTGGAGTATTTTACATCCACTAACAGCAAAAAATTCCTGGATAACAGTTTCCTATTCAAAATATTACACAAGTTTGAACGTGCAGAAAAAAACTTCGCACTTTAACTCCTGAGAAAATAACTGCTCCACGTTCTGGAAACATGTTTTGTATTAAATTTCAAGTATTGTTGAAAGTCATAAACTTTTTTCCTTGTGGAAATATAGCTATTTAGGGCTCGAAAACAGACGTCTTTTCGGCGGCGTATTTTCGATGCCTACATAGACGGCGGCCATCATGAGTGGCTTCAAAGATGGCGGCCAAGTAATCGTTCCAGTTCCCTTAGAGTTTACTGGTTCACTCACACAGTTCGCTCTTGGAAATAATTTAGTTTTCTTTTATTATATAAGCATTTTTAATATAAAATAGGGCAATTGAGGAGGCAAATGGAAAATGCACAAGAAACAAAACAAACTTGCTTTATACTTCACAATTTCCCATGTAATATATTTTCTTGTAAAAAAACTCCCCCTTTACAGCTTATTGAATGGAACGACTTTTCCATATGTTTTCATTCTTTTCAACTGAAATCTTGGCAGTTGGCTCAATCTACTCCTGGCAGTTCACATTATTTTGAGATCAGTGAGATGACCACCAACTTCCCACTTTTGAAACCGTTAGCAGCCTTCCTTTTCCCGGATGTGAATAGCCGAGCGTGATTAGTTCACTCGCCCCTGGTTTACGCTCCCGCGGTTGGCAGGGGATTATGTGAATACTTATATAACGGTTTATATAACAATGTCAAGGCTAAGAAAAGTAATAATTGCAAAATAACAATGCAAAGTCCAACAATGAGTAAATAAAAGCACAATTATACTAATTATAAATTTGAACAGTGAGTGACTTAATTGAAGGCAAAGGCATTGCCATGACATTCGGAACACTATTTTGAAAGGAAGGATTAAATATATCGATCGAGACTCGACGTGATAAGCGTTCTTGGATAGAATAAATTTTTGTTTGCATTGCCATTGCTGTTTTTGGATTTGAGAGAAAATCATGTTAGACGCGTGTAATACGACACTCTAGTAATCAGGGGCGAAATTAGCTCCTTTAAAAGTTCGGGGAGTGTCTGCCAGAATTGCCCTGCCAAAACCGATGATGCCCTGGAGCAAAGTTTTATTTCTGACCACTATTTTCCCCCAAAAATGTGGGAGAGTGGGGGGGAGTTGAAAATTTTTTTCCGGACATTAAAAAAAGAGTCGAAAACTTTTTCCGAACATAAACTAGTTAAACTAAGGGTCAAAAAAAGTTTTCCGTACAAATTCCTGTTAAAACATGGGTGAAACACTTATTTTTGGACGAATATCTGTAAAATTTAGGTCTGTAAATTCTATTGAATTGCCTCTGAAAGCCCTGTAAGTTATTTAATAACTCTACATTCAATCATTTAAAATATTTGATTGCCCTGCCAATCCAGATGATTTGTATTTTGGGGGGTGTCACACCTCGGAATTCAAATTCCTGAAACTTCAGGTAGTTGAATTCAAACCCGAATTCCTTTTTGAATTTTTCAGGTAGTTTCATCTCATACCAACCTAAGTTTTGTCCTGGTTTTGTCTGGTCTGCCGTCACCCACGCTTGCAAAGACCGTTCAAGATTGACGGTAAAAGGGCATCCCTATCAACCCGAAGGCTTCGTTATATATTTAACCTTTGTCTTTCCCTAAGATTATTCGGCTATGTAAATATGTATATCTTCGTACAGAGTACATCTTGATTCCTTAAATAAATATTTTCTTTTTCAATATTGAAGTCGAATCACTTCATATTTCTCCGAAACCGCTACGGCCACCTATCCTTTACGAACTCCTTTTAATACTGACACTTCCTTACACGGACGCTTCCTTAATACGGGCACTTCTCTAATACGGCTTCCTCTCCAATACCGCCGCCTCTCTAACACTGACACATTTCATAGATGGACGCGTCCGACATACGGAAGAACATGCACCCACGAATGCGGACAACTCAAGTACTTGAACAAAAAACTACTTCTTGTCCCTGCTACAAATGGCTGTTTAATACGGACACCCCCCCCTCTCCTCGTTCATACTGCATGACCCCCTACTGTTTAATTGAAAATGCGACATTAAATTAGAATTAACTTGATCACACCTTAAAGCAAACAGCCATTTTTCTAATATTGACATCTCCCTAATACTCGCACATAATTAAAACAGAGTGTCTCAAATCCCTAAAAGATACTAATGACATAATTGAATAATACCCAGAGGAACTCTCGCTCGAAAAGTCAAAGTTACTTAAATTAATAATCTTTACCGCATTGTTTTGTAACACCTATACTGTAGCACGGCAAAATCGTGTAAAATATGCAAGCTAAAAAGTTTGATGTTCTAATAAAGATAAACTGATTTTGATCACATTCAGGTATTGCCTACCAAACGAAATCTGGTTGAGTCATGAGCTTTAGAGGATGGTGGAAATCCCGACACAGTATACTTAAATCAAGATCGCTCGACAACATTGACGAAATAAATGCTGGAAAAATATTCAAAATTCGTTATATTGGATGTACAAACCTGGACGAAAATGAGGAATGTAATTTCAATAGAACTGCTGATGGAGTTCTAAATAACCTTTCGAGTAAAACATTGAAGAAATTACCGGCATTGGAGCTGTTCATTGACTCAAAATCGATATCAGTGACCGATAAACTTTTGCAAGGCCATTCTTTACTTGAAGTCTCACTGTCAGATGTCAGAGACATATTATACCGTAAAAAAGATAGCCATTATGGTAAGATTTGTATTTTTGTGGCAAGACATATACCATTAAGCTCATGTTTAAAGGCACATGTGCTTTATTGTGATACTTACAACCTCGCAGAGGAGCTTTTTGAAACATTTCGTAGTGCATTCGAAGTATTTAATCAAAAGGCTTCGGGCAGTTCCAATAATTACTGCGAAATACCGACCCATAAAATTCCAAATGAGATCAAGGAAACGACATATACTGCGAAAGAAACACATGGTTTGGATTTGTGTGATATAAATGACAATGGATTAACTCTAAAATAAACTGATGATTTTGGCAATTTAAGGAGGTCATTACAAAAGTTTATGCTCACACGTAACGTAAAATGTATAGGCGAGGTCAGCCAACGAACTGAAGACGGACCAAACACATTCTCCTCAAGGAAATTGAAGAAATGGGTCACGGTTTCTTTTCATTGTTAATAAGAATGGTAGGCCTTTCCATTAACACGGCCAGACCGGTCAGAATGGTCAAATTGTTGAATTGAACACAAAATGCTTGAACTTTGGACCTATCTGACAGGAAAATTTAGATAAAATTAGAATGAGATCCATTTTCGCCAGATATTTGAGAAACATAGGCCAGATACTTCCATTGATACAGAGACAAAAATTCGGGTCTGACCGGTCAGGCGATAAAATGGAAAACGCCCTACGATTACAAGTTATCAAAACATTAAATGGATATATAAGCCGCCCTGTAGCGCGGTGTAGGGCGCTATAAAATACACGCAGGTGTATTATGCAACAGGAGATTGGCACGAGTGTGCTTTTATGTTGTTGAAAAGAAAAATAAACGAAATGGCGGAGAAATTGAAAATACTAAGGTGAAAACGTCCTTACACAGGAGATAGTCATATTGCTGTGTTTAAACGAAATAGATAAATTAATAACCTCAGGAGCCGGTTGTATCAAGCCCGTTTAGCTTAAACGGTGGTTACGTTCGAAATATAAAGCAAGTCTATAGATTCATTCAACAACCAATTAAAAAGTTTTGAACCTTAATAGAACGATAATGTTTACAACTACATATTTTGTGTATAATAGCTGAGTTGACTGATTCACGAGAGATAAAGAGTGTTATTTAATTTTGACTTAACCACCGTTTAAGCTAGACGGGCTTGATACAACCAGCCCCTGGATTTAGTGGCAATTGATATGTCGTATTAATTCCGATGAAAAATGAATGGACAAAAATACATTCTCATTGGTTTATGGTGTTAAATTTTAACATTCAAGTGCATTTTTGCTATAGTCCCAGACTCCTGCGGCAAGGTATGTCGCGCGGTTGCGGGGAGTGTGAACTGTTTTTTCAACAAAGTTGTAAAAAATTTTATTTCCAGACTTAAAATGGAAACAAAAGTTTTGTAAAGCAGAAAAACCCATTCCAGTGGTGCTTTTTTACGAAAAGAAATCGTTTTGAACAGAATATATACAGAAATAGATTTTCAACGCTGTTGTGCGAGCAATCACAAACTACGAAAGATCAAGACAAACTCAAACTTAAGAGGTATACGGTATGTTCTAAAAATATTTCAATTGTTTTATACATAACTGGAGTTCAATAATCTTTTAAAACTTACACACTTTTTAAACTTTCTTCAAACACTCATTAATAATTCATGAGGAAAACACAAAGAAAAATCCTAAGCGTGTCGTATCTTTATATATGTGATAGAGATTTCCCTAGATTTACATAAATTTTAGATTTGATTTTCTCGACTTTATACATAACATATTTGTTGAAAATTACTTCGCCAATGAACTTACTATAGATCGATCGTTTTTGAAGTAATTTAAAACATTCTGACAAAACACTGCTGCTCACGTTTTAAATAGTACATATTTTTCTACGTTGCATGAGCTTGAGGCAACGCTTTTAAAACCATAGTTTTCGGCGATTATGGGAAGTTCGTACGCAATTTCTGCAAGCGCTGTTGAATTCTGTAATAAAACAGTAATTATTTATTTCAATTGAACGCAGTAATAAATTTAATATTTCCCTAGCAATCGTTGCATTTGCATTTCTTCGCAACGCGGTGTAGCAATAGTGAAAATCCACTATATTTATAAGAAAAAAGTTTTTACCACCTTTTAAGTACTAGATAAAACATGAGCAGCCGATCTGTATCTGATATACAAACTCGAGGCGAAGGCGAGAGTTTGTATATCGGATACAGATCGGATGGGAATGTTTTATCGTACTTAAAAAACGACCCATCTTATGAGTTCGTTGGCGAAGTAATTTTAAAAATAAACATTGTCTAAGCCGATATGTAAATCAGGGCAAATCTTTATCCGATTTACAAACATTGATTAAACATTGATTTCTTTTGTATTTTCCTCGTAAATTATTAACGAATTAATTTTTTAATAATTAGTAAACATCTTCTTGAGCCTTCAGGGCCGACAAAATATCTATAAAACTTTTTATTCGTACTCCAAAACGCAGCATATTGTGGGCCAGGCGTAGTTTATGGTATAGTTATGGCGTGGCAATAATGGGTATAAGCAAAGTATATGACGCAATTTACAAGACTCAGCAGCCCACTAAGGGCTGTGACCTGCTCTTGAGACACGAGGACTTGTGGAAGAAGCTGGCACACGTTTTTGCCCGAAATTAGTGGCGTTGCATCACGATATATATGTATATATATATATATATATATATATAAATATAACCACACAGCTTTGGATACTCTAATTCAATCTGACGACCACCGATTGATCGTCTCTTTGAAATATCATTCATTATTACTCTATATCATACAATCAATGACTCTTATACCTTAATTGTTTCTATCAAAATGTTACGGAGATTACTATACATCTCACCGTATACTAATTATTATGAAACCAGAAGTGTGGTTAATAAAAGTTAAAGTTTCTTTAGTATATATAATTACTGTTATTGTGCAAACATGCACTTTAGTGCCTTCATGCCGGTAGTACTGTACTATAATTTCACTAAGTTTGCTCTACCTCTGGCAAAACGGCAAATCGTTGACTTAAATATATTTGTTTTGACATAGTAAGGTGAAATGTATGGTGAATTGCTGTTCTAATCGCTTTTTATAATTATACACAACTATCGCAATCGTCATTGTGCAATCACACAGTCTAATACCTGGTGTTCGTTAACAAATATTTGATAGATTTCCCTATTTCTGGCTAACTAGTTCTCTGGCATTAGCTATCAATGTTTTGACATAGTGAAGCCAGGAGCGTAGTAACTTACGCTAGGAGTCTTTCCGGTGTACATACTATTCCTACTGTCTCTTAGTTTTAAAATATCAATATCATATTCTGTCTAATTACGTCAATGTTCCATCGCAGATCAGTTACTCTACTTCAGGAAGAACTGGAACCCTAGGCATTAATGATCTTCTCTTTGAAATAGTCAGACCAGGAGGATGGTTAGATGTTGATGGAGTGTCCGAATTTGCACCAAAGAGATGACTTTCTCTACGACTAAATCTTCTAGGCAATGAGCTATTTGTTTCATCAGTAATGGAAATACTGCAATGCTGCTTATCAGCTACATCTGGTTTAATGCTTGAACTTCGGTTGCCCAGGGCAATGCTGTCACGCTCACTGAAAATCAAGTCAGTTTTTAGGGCATTGTCTGCATTTACCAATACCCTTCTTCTTTTCTTGGGCAATTTCAGCCTCGCTTGGGCGTGGGAATAATACAGTGAAAAATTATTAACTATCACCGGTACCGGTAGGGCGATCATGAGTACACCACTGACCGCACAAAACGAGCCCACTATCTTTCCGGGGATTGTAACAGGGGCCATGTCGCCGTATCCTACGGTTGTCATGGTAACGATAGCCCACCAAGCTGCTGCCGGGATACTTGTAAATTTTGTATTGGGCGCATCCTTTTCACAATAGTAAATCAAGCTTGAAAATATCACCACCCCTATTAATAGGAAGAACACAAGTAGAACAAGCTCTCTTATACTGGCTTTCAAAGTATGGCCCAAAATTTGTAGATCAGTCGAATGTCTTGACAATTTAAAGATTCGAAATATTCGAATCAACCGAATAATCAATAGGATTTCGTGCTCAGCGTTACCGTTAGATGAGTCTCTACTTGTGTTCGAACTGCTGTTGGCAACATTAATGAAGAATGGGACAATTGCGAGGAAATCAATCCAGTTCATAATGTTTTTAAAGAAAGCTTTTTTCTCTGGACAGAAAATAAGACGAATTGCGAGTTCCACAGTAAACCAAGCCACGCAGATCCCCTCAATAATGACGAGTGCGATATATCTGTCGTCTGGCTCAAAATACTCCAACGATTCCAAACAAACGATGAAAACAGATAAGATAATAAATAATAACGATGTATAGCCGATGATCTGGAAGAGAAAGAAAATAGTATGCTTAATTATAGGAACACTTTGGAAAACTATAAATTGTGAACATCTGATCAAGGGTGCATACAAGAACGTACATTTTAGTGTCCAGTAACATTCGCACTCCTGTGTCTGATAGACCGATTTAGGAATGTCTTAAAGCCCGTGTTAGTCTCTTTAAGGAAAGCCCCATTCGTGTCTTTATTGCAGATACTAACTCCTCAGGAGAAAATATTATAAAACCCATAATTTTAGGCGCCATTCAGTTCACTATGTTATTCAATAGGTTTTATTTCAATTTTCTTAGTCAATCTTAGAAATTTCTCTTTAAAAACATTTCAAATATAAGAGTTTGGGTTGTCTTAATTATTTGAAAATCATAAAACTATTTCATCTAATGTGGGTGTGCAGGACGAAGAGACTGATATAATATTTAGAAAGCGCAGGAATTAAAGTGGTAGGAAGAATAGATTGATTCATGGGCATGCAGCAAAGTAAATCGGAACGCTGAAATTGAAACACGTTGTTCAACCTGTTTCCTATATGTCAAAAGGGTTTCCGAAAAGGTGAAAATTGTTGTAACAAACGTAGGAGTTCGTATTGGATTTAAGTAACCTAAGATGAAAACATCCGATGCAAATTGTGCACCTAATTAGTTCGGTGAATCAATTAGGCATACTAATCAATTAGGCATACATCATCAAGCGAAATGTAAATATTTAAAAAGGCAATCCCAGTTGAGACTGACACTGGCTGCATTGCTGCATGAGATGAAAGTTGCAGCTTGCACGCCAAAATTGAGCACGCATCTTTATTATTTTTAATATTCTTTACTATTCTTAATTTTTCAGTTGTTTCAAACAGATCAGTTATCGAATAAAGATATATTTTTGAATGGTTTGACATATACTCGCCGCTTTCAGGGCTCGAAAAAGTACGTTCAAAACTTGTAAAATACATATATCTAAAGAGTTTCAAACGTTCGCTGATTAAAAATATTTATTTGGACGAGCTTTCGACTCTGTTAACAACTCCACTCACTTTGCCAAAAAAATCACTGAAACACACATTGAGGATGACGAAATCATAATGTCTTTTGACGTTGTATTAATTTTTACAGCAATACCTGTGGACAAGGCATGTGAACACATACGCAACAAACTCGAGAAAGTCAAAATCTTACATCACAGAACCAAACTATCAATTGACGACATGATCAAACTTTTACGTTTCACTCTTACTAATCCCCGAGCCGGCGGCGCGAAGCGCCGTGCGAGGGTACTAATTCCCCCCGGCTATTTACACCCGGGGAAACGAAAGCATTAGCGGAGTCTAAAGTTCATCAAATATCGCGGGCGTGGGTGACCAACGGTGTTGAGGGTGGGTGGTCATCCTCACTGATCTCAAAAATATGGCGGACTGTCATGGATAGCGAACACTGATTGGTCAAATTTAAAATTTGTTGTTGTATGACAAATGACGACTTCAACTGACAGATACTCCATGAAAATAATTTGCTTTTTACACTACAGTATTTTGTACGTTTGCAAAAAACTTTGACAGCTTTCAAAGCAATTTGTTCTATAAAAAAGTTTAATAAAACAATTATGGTATCAAATACCAATTGAAAAGATATGGAGCCAAATGAAGAGCGGCAAGGAAACAAGAAAGCCGAACTTCTAGCGAAAAGGAGGGAGCGAAGACGACAACGTTTGCTCGAGGAGACTGCTGAGGAAAGAGAAGCTCGCCTGGGAAAGCGTAGAGAAGCATGGAAAAGACTGCTGAGTGAAGCGAAAGGTAAGAAAAGGCTTGTCTTCACAACGCTATGTAGTAATCTACTAATGTTACTGTAGCTATACGAGTTGAAGTATGATATTCGACCCTCTATATTCGACTGTTTCTTCACAATTTTCCAATAAAGAGTTTGTCAAGACACGCTCAAGTCAGTATAACCAGACTGTATTTTATTTATATCAGTTATCACAGCCACAGGCAATTTTATGCTGTCAAATACCGTCGGTTGCAACTAAAGGTGAACAGTTGCAGATAAAACATTCTCTATTCTCATTAAAAAGCCTGTAAAGGTTTCCAGTAGGTCTCTAGCCCAACACGTTCAGACCACACAAAGTTTTTTTACTTATTATTGTACACATGGGAAACAACAATTAAGTGTTGTTGTTCTTGACAAACATTGGAGATTCTAATCACGCAAATGTTTTTATGAGCAACTGTTCATCGTTAGTTGCAAACGACGGTACAACATACTATGAACATTTTTCCGACTGTGACCGAATGTGCAACGATATAATTTTCAAAGTTGTTATCAATTCCTAAAATTTGTTTATAGTAAAAGGGCCTGCTCAGCACTCACTACTCACGTTGATCCGATTTCATTTAGAAATGCATTTACCGGGAAAGGAACTGATTCTAAAATATGTAAATTTAAAAGCATTGGCTAACAGAATAAATTAAGCGATCGATGAAGACAAGGTACAAACTTTTATAGTTGCTATTTGTTATAAAATCCTATAAATAAACCGATTCAACAATAATTTTGCCTCGAATTTGCATATTCTATGCTGCATATTTATATTTTATTTTTATAGTATAAAAATAAAATTGTAATACTATGAAATAAAATACATTTCTGTTTATTGACCAGTACTTATTTAATGTCTTCTTCATCCAGTGGTCAGAGTAAATTTCTACTTCTAGCAAGTAAATATTTGACAAGCAGTCTGGAATAAGCACAGGACTTTTAATGCATCAGCCAAATCCAAGTGTGTCCATCCCCCTCGCCCAGCCATTTTCCTGTAAAGCACATCCCGGAGGTTGGGCATTTCCACTCGAACCTTAGCCCCGGTGGGGCATTTGAAATTAATAATTTGGATTCTTGCACTTCACTTGTGGAATTAATATTAGAATGTTAGGGTTTGTAATCATGTATATATTTTGTAATCCAAGTGAGAATATTTTGTAATCCAAGTGAGAATATACAAATGTATAGTACATGTATATATTTTGTGTATATATTTTGTAATCCAAGTGAGAATAGTTTGTAATCCAAGTGAGAATATACAAATGTATATATTCTCACTTGGATTACAAACCCTAACATTCTAATGTTAATTCCAACAAGTGAAGTCCAAGAATCCAAATTATTGAAGTCCACCTTATCACAACCCGCACACCTGATTACCTAAATATACATGAACTTACGGTTAAAGCTCAACAGCTGGCTTCTGTAGCTCAGTTGATTAGAGCGCTGCACCGGAATCGCAGGGCCGTAGGTTCAATTCCTACCAGAGGACCTTGTGCTGCATTTTTCGCAGTCGTTCCTGGTTAGGTCTTAAAAAATGTATATATTCTCACTTGGATTACAAACCCTAACATACTAATATTAATTCCACCAAGTGAAGTGCAAGAATCCAGATCATTGAAGTCCACCTTATCACAACCCGCACACCCGATTACCTATATATACATGAACTTACGGTTACAGCTCAACAGCTAGCCTCTGTAGCTCAGTTGGTTAGAGCGCTGCACCGGAATTGCAGGGCCGTTGGTTCAATTCCTGCCAGAGGACCTTGTGCTGCATTTTTCGCAGTCGTTCCTGGTTAGGTCTTAAAATGTATATATTCTCCCTTGGATTACAAACCCTAACATTCTAATATTAATTCCACCAAGTGAAGTGCAAGAATCCAAATTATTGAAGTCCACCTTATCACAACCCGCACACCCGATTACCTAAATATACATGAACTTACAGTTAAAGCTCTACAGCTGGCCTCTGTAGCTCAGTTGGTTAGAGCGCTGCACCGGAATCGCAGGGCTGTAGGTTCAATTCCTACCAGAGGACCTTGTGCTGCATTTTTCGCAGTCGTTCCTGGTTAGGTCGTAAAATGTATATATATTCTCACTTGGATTACAAACCCTAACATTCTAATATTAATTCCAACAAGTGAAGTGCAAGAATCCAAATTATTGAAGTCCACCTTATCACAACCCGCATACCCGATTACCTAAATATACATGAACTTACAGTTAAAGCTCAACAGCTGGCCTCTGTAGCTCAGTTGGTTAGAGCGCTGCACCGGAATTGCAGGGCCGTATGTTCAATTCCTACCAGAGGACCTTGTGCTGCATTTTTTGCAGTCGTTCCTGGTTAGGTCTTAAAATGTATATATTCTCACTTGGATTACAAACCCTAACATTCTAATATTAATTCCAACAATTGAAGTGCAAGAATCCAAATTATTGAAGTCTACCTTATCACAACCCGCACACCCGATTACCTAAATATACATGAACTTACGGTTAAAGCTCAACAGCTGGCCTTTGTAGCTCAGTTGGTTAGAGCGCTGCACCGGAATTGCAGGGCCGTAGGTTCAATTCCTACCAGAGGACCTTGTGCTGCATTTTTTGCAGTCGTTTCTGGTTAGGTCTTAAAATGTATATATTCTCACTTGGATTACAAACCCTAACATTCTAATATTAATTCCAACAAGTGAAGTGCAAGAATCCAAATTATTGAAGTCCACCTTATCAGTTATCACAACCCGCACACCCGATTACCTAAATATACATGAACTTACAGTTAAAGCTCAACAGCTGGCCTCTGTAGCTCAGTTGGTTAGAGCGCTGCACCGGAATCGCAGGGCTGTAGGTTCAATTCCTACCAGAGGACCTTATGCTGCATTTTTCGCAGTCGTTCCTGGTTAGGTCTTAAAATGTATATAATTATTCTCACTTGGATTACAAACCCTAACATTCTAATATTAATTCCAACAAGTGAAGTGCAAGAATCCAAATTATTGAAGTCCACCTTATCACAACCCGCACACCCGATTACCTAAATATACATGAACTTACGGTTAAAGCTTAACAGCTGGCCTCTGTAGCTCAGTTGGTTAGAGCGCTGCACCGGAATCGCAGGGCCGTAAGTTCAATTCCTACCAGAGGACCTTGTGCTGCATTTTTCGCAGTCGTTCCTGGTTAGGTCTTAAAATGTATATATTCTCACTTGGATTACAAGCCCTAACATTCTAACATTTGAAATTAAGGATTTGGAGGTTTTGCGATCACTGATAACTTGATAATAATATAAAACAAAACACTTCTATCTGCAACTTTTACTATCACTGATAACTTGATAATAATTTAAACCAGTCAAGTTGTAGTTTAAATAGAGAATAATACATGGGTGCACGAAATACCAGATTTATTCCGAGTGTTGAACATGAGTGCGGAGCGAACAAGTGAGCGCATCGAACGAGTGAGATGTCATGTTCAACACGAAAAATAAATCTGGTATTTCCAACCACCCATGTATTTTTCTGTTTATTATATAAAGGACAGTCTTTGAAAAGCGATAATTTTTGCAGAAAAGCGATAATTGAAAAGGCGATAATTTTCACATGTGAGATTATCATGAATAATTTCACATGTGAGATTATCATTTTTATCAGTGCTCGAAATCTCTTTAAAATACTCATTAATAATTCATAAACCTTGTGGCAAACATGTCGGCCATAATATGTCACGTGGAGTGACTTTATATCTGATAAAACACATGTGGCATTATATAATTGTTCATCTTAATTAGCATGATTATACTATGGTTCATCCTAATTAGTAGTCTTTTGTAGTCGTATTTTAAGCTATTCAAAACACTCGTTGTCGTGTTTTATCAGATATATAACGCTCGGCTGCACTCCTACTCGTGTTTTAAATAGTACATAAAACACCATACTTTATATGATAAAAATTCATAAATTTGAACCACGCTAGACCATGACAACAGCAAAATGCTCTATAGTATGATGCACAAAATTTTGGGAGATGAAATACACGAACAATAAATCAGAGAGTGTTTGCGTGAATGCGTGAAACTCACTGGTGGGGGGGGGGGGGTGCAACACCCCTGATAATTGCTCATGAGGAATTTCAGGTAGATTTCCAGTGCACTTTTAGGTAAATTTAAGTAGATTTGCAGAAGATTTTTAGGGGAATTCAGGTAATTCTCAGGACATGAGAAAGTGAATTTGGAAAACAACTGTATTTTCGGAAAAATTATTATATGTCCTGAAAATTTTTTGTACATCTGGAAACATTTTGGTAACCACCCCCCCTCTATCTAACCTCACACACCCCCTGAGACGAAGTGCTAGCAACGGCACTGAGTATACATCTTTTGAAAACAGGCGAGGGGTTATTGCATGCATGTATTTCTAGTTTAAAATTAAATTACACGATATGGAATTACATGTCAAAATCAACAAGGAAGCGGAAGGTATAGTGTACCACACAACACTCAGCACGATATCGGGCGCCTTCCATTTGAACAAAAAACCCAGTTTGCGTTTCCGGAATGTCCAGTGGCAAAATGGAACGCTACAGCGTGACAGGCCTTGTAAATAATGGGAGGCTTGTTGGTCGCTTTTCTTTTGACGGAAATTTCGGAAATCTTCCTTGAAAATCAAATGGAACACGTTAATTTCTGGAATGCTGTTCCTTTAATTTTGAAGAATTTGACACTGCCGCTCAAATCTCTTCTTTCAGCATTCGGCGAAATAAATCCAAACTCGAGGCACTGAAATGGTCGAGAACCCGCCATTTTGGTTTTGGAATGCTTCCGGAATTTCTAATTTGTGGACAACCTCGAGAGATTGCCCGAAATTTTCGAAACAGCATTTCAGATATTAACGTGTTCCATTTGATTTTTCAAGAAAGGTTTGCGGAATTTCCATCAAATGGAAAGCGCCCATCATTACCTCTGCTTTTTGCTTGATCTGCATGTTCGCGCTTAAACACTACTCTAGCGCAACATCATCATTAGACAGATTTAGAAAAGACGACGCGAGCTCAAAGATGAAGCGAATGTGGTCATTGGGCGCCAACTATTGTCAGCTTCTGGTTTGCGACGTCGTCTTGGACGATTTCACGACCTGAAAATACAATTTTCACGTCCTCCCTAGAACGTCACAGATTTATGCTTCTTTTAATTAATTAATTTAATTAGGTGGTCTTATACACTGAAAACGTTTTTCCTAATTTAATACTTTTTCCTCATTTTTTACTCAAATATTATAGAATATGGGTGGCTGACTCAAAATCATTCACTTATACTATACATATGTTGTTGCCATAATAACCAAGATAGGACCTCTATAGGGTAAGATATGGCGTTTGCTCCAAAAATTATAGCAATTCAAAGTAAACTACCCTTGATCTCCCAAGCAGCTTTAATTGATACAAAATAGACCTATCTATTATGTGAACCCAAAAAAATACTTACCTAGAGGCATAAAGTGTATAAATTTTACGCTTCTTTATAGATGTATGAAAATATGGGGGTGCGGAGTTCAATAATAGGGTTATCTTGTAGTGAGTATAACTCACACATAGTATTTTTTAGATTCACATCACAGATTTAGTAGTAATGAGTAAATGCTGAAAATTTGACTTTGATTGGATAAGTAGCAAGCCTAGGAGAGTTTTTGCCATCTCGTGAGTTGACAATTTGAGAAAATTGAGTTTAAAATATTTGTAGATATGTTCTCGACAAACAAATCTAATTTAAAGGCTAGAATAGGCGTCTGGAAAGTTTAAAATGAGCCAGCTGCATGTTTTTAATTGTACAGAAGCTCGTACTGTTTCCATCACCAGACAGTTCATCATACTGACGTTTATGTGAACTTACCGAGTGCTTAAATATACGCTTTGCACTTTCCGGCTCAATAACTGGTGCCGACAGCAGTTTTAACAACTCCATTCTCACTACCTTATCACTTTTCAACTTGTGGAGTTTGCCAACATGTTTCATCGTTGATTCAGCTACATCTTTCGTAGCATGCAAGATGGCTTTTGTGTGGTAACTATAATAAGACCTCGGGTTAATGGGTTCGGTATGTCCATTCTTGAGCAGAATCTTTCCAACCCAGATAATATATAAGTCACAGCCAATAGACTTATAGACCTCATTCCATATATCATTCTCCTGTTTACTTCAAAACAATGACCAAGATTTTTTGAAGTATAGAACTCTTCAGAGTGTCCACAGAAGCTACAGTGAAGAAAAAGACACGAAGCACAACCCATCCGCTTGGTATCATTTTCAACAATTTCTCACTGGCACTCCACACTCCAAACATACCTTGCAATGCATGGCATGTATTTAAAGATATTCCCCAAAATATCAACATCAATACCGTAAACCTCCGACTATAAGCCCCCCGGCCCCCCGAATATAAGCCCCCCCCCGAATATAAGCCCCCATGTATAAGCCCACCACATGTACTAACGCTCACCTCATTCCAAATATAAGCCCCCTCTCCCGAATATAAGCCCCCCGTATATACGCCCCCTGAATATAAGTCTCCTGAATTAATATATGCCCAGTAATGTATCGATCAATTCGAAACTTCACCATCCCCTCCCCGGGCCGACCCCGGGAATTTGAACTTTTTGAAATTTGACTGATCAAATTCTCCACCCCCTGTGCAAAAAATGTCTTCAAATGCCCCCACTGTAACAAGAAATTAAGCGTTCAAATGACCCACCTTCATATGAAAATTATGAAACAGCAAATACAAAAAGTACAAAATATACGGAAATGTTTTTCGACAAGATAGCGAAATTCACGTAAAAATTTTGGATACTTTGTGGAAATTTAACAGTTTTACACAATTATGTAGTACATACCTTCAAATGAAGATTTTCCATGCCCGTTTCTTTGAGCCAGTTTTTCACAAAATTGAGACCGTTTCCCTCGAAATCTGAGAAAACTGTATTTGCCGCCAATGCGAAGTATTTTCTGTGCATGCAGGAAGCACAAGAAAACGGGCAAAATTTTAAGACTTCCGGTTCAAATTCCCCACCCCGTTATCAAATGCCCCACCACATGGAAGACCTTGAACGTCAAATTCCCTACTCCCTGGAGAAGACTTGAAGTCAAATTCCCGGGGTATGCCCGGAGGGGATGGTGAAGTTTCGAATTGATCGATACATAATCGCTGCTTAATACATGTTTAGTTTCCTGTTTATGACTGACTTGTTTATATCTGACTTGTTTATTACTAACACAAAAGATTGTCCATGTATAAGCCCCCCATATATAAGCCCCCTTGGTATAAGCCCATCAAAAATCGCTTACGAAAGTATATAAGCCCAGGGCTTATAGTCGGAGGCTTACGGTAATTCGATAACCAGTCAATTGAAAGAGCACTTGCTTTATCAAGTAAACCAGTTTCTCTAGCCGAAGCTGACATGTCTGACATACATAACATGTGGTTAATTGCGGCTTGGTCGTCTGATCCTGATTCAGACACATTTTCATCGCTCGTACTTGCGATGGATGTTTCGCTCGTTTTCAAATTTCTGAGTTTACAGTGAACCGATCTCCACTAAATTTACGATTCTTTGAATAACCAGAACGTTGCTTAGGCATTTCCATTCGAAACATCGAGACAAATAGACGTTGTTACTTCATTTAAGATATGTTATACTGGCTTCAAATATACAAGAGTAATATGGGAAGGGTAAGCAAGTACAAATGTAGACTATTTTGGTCTGAAATACCGAGCCATGGTATGGGGCTTCGGTGGCCAAGTGGTTAGCGCACTTCCCTTTCACCTCTGAGGCTGCAGGTTCGAGTCTCACTAAGTACCTTCTCAGTGCGACTCGAACCCAGTCCCCATGTGAAAAGAGTAAAAGTCAACGCTCTGCCGAAAGCCGTGGGTTTTCCCCGGGTACTCCGGTTTCCTCCCACAGGGAAAGTTGAGAGGGTGGGTTAGGTAAAAAAGGGCCCACAGTAATTGCCATATGCTGTTGTGGTGACCCTGCCCTAGTTGGCAAAGCTAAATAAATAAATAAATCAATTTAACCACAGCATTTGGTTGCTAAGGTGGTTGATAAGGGCCAATTCCAATATTAGGCAACTTTGATCAAACAATTTACCCCTCAGGAACTCAGATACGACAAAAGTATAATGCTAGCATGAAAGTGCATATTATACAATGTATAAGACCACCTTTAAAAATAATATGAGAGTACGCATCATAAACGTCATCCTATTTTGTTCCCCATGCATAGTAGTAGTAGTAGTAGCAGAAGTAATATTTCAAATCCGAGTTAGTGTTTTAGACGTGGTTTCTAAATACAAGTGCCATGAACAATGGCGAGGCGCAGCCGAGCCATTGTTCATGGCACTGGGGATTTGGAAGCCAAGTTTAAAACACTAACGAGGATTTGAAATTGCTTCTCACACATCATTAGATATTCATAGCAATGAGGCAGTAACAATAGCGAATTAAGTTGTTCAATGAGGCGAATGCGTAACGAAGGAACGAATTAAAGGCGTTGTTGTTGTAGTATTTGTTCTCCTTCGAAGGAAGCATGGCATCTAGTTGCAAAAAGAGGCGATTTCGAGATCCCCAAAGCGTGGAAAGAAGCATTGACAACGTCCTAAATGCTATTCCACAAACAACGCGTTATAAAAATCGTTGGGGAATTCGTATATTTGAAGATTGGCAAAGTGGGCGAGAAAATAAAGCAGTCATGTGTGAGAGCAATCCTTTCAGCTTAGATTTGCAGAATTTGCAAAATTTGGAGACATAATTGTGTTCAATAACGGCAAGAACGTTAAACTTCTTGCTTATCAAATTTGTTCAAGAAGTTTGCGACAAGGATGGCAAGCTATATCCCGGGCGTACAGTATACCAAATTATATGCTCGTTGAAACGACATCTAGACGAAAATGGCCGGGCTGAAGCTAACATGTTAAATGCTAACAATCACTGGTAGGTTGAATTTGTTCATTTTTAATTAATGGTTTAGTTTAATTTATTGTAATGTGAGCATGTGTATTACTCAGTTTCCAGACGTTCAGAAGAGTGCTGGATAGTGAAATGAAAGCCACCCACCGGGAAGGCGAATCGCTTGCGGTGAATCGTACAAGACGAGAGAAAGAAGCTATTACAGATGATGAAGAGGGTTTGCTGTGGTCAAAAGGCTTGCTGTGAGACAAAACTGCTCAAAGTTTGGTTGACACAATTTATTTCTATATCGGAAAATATTCGGATTAAGAGCATGCATGTGAACACAGACAGTTAAGATTAAGCAACTTTTTCGACCGAGCAAAACAGCGTATAAATTCGAAAATGCACCAATTGGTATTCATAAGCTTAATTCTATCGTGCCTTTTTTAATGAAAGAAGCTGGCCTTGAGATTAAGACAGCACACTGCCTTCGTGTCACAACAGCAACAAATTTTTTTCGTGCTGGCCATCAAGAAAAATTAATACGTGAACGAACTGGGCATGTTTCTTCTGCCTTATTTACGTATGAGAAGCCTAGTAATGATCAAGCAATGGCTGTATTCAAGTGTGTTGGCCCATCTGTATCAAAGGTTGTGTCGCTTGTTGACAACTGTTTTAACACACCCTCGAAGCCTAAGGAAGACGAAAAGTTTCAAATTTCCGATGAGGAACTTGATAAGTTTTTGAGAGAAGTGGACTGGTCTAAAATTGATAAAGAGGTGCAGCGACGTACTATCGCAGAAAAGTTTGTTTTGTCGAAAAGTACATTGACTAACTGTTCCTTTATCATGTCGTTTGCCGGAAATAAGTAATACTAAGTCAATTGTATGTGTGTTATTGTTAGTGTGATTAAAAAAGCAACATATTTTGTTGTTTGAAGTGTGATTTAATGCTTTTGTGTATTTAGAAGTTATTTCTAAATACAGCTTACTGTATTTAGAAATAATTCTAAACATAGCAATTACATATATTTGCATAATCTTTTGTTTACTCCTCAATTTCCCTATTGTTCAAAGCCCTTCCCAATTGAAGTAATTAAAGTCCTGGTCTAGACGGGGTATCGAAATAGATATACGTGATGTAAATTACACCATGTCATTGGCCGAAATGCTATGAATATCTAATGATGTGTGAGAACACTAAATATTCTTAATAATGTAACATAACGACAACTTAATACTTTTCTAACAGTAGATACAAATTATGTAAATTTCTGATGTAATTTAACCTAATGGTTACAAAATCAGTTTTAAGTAAATTATAAAAAAAAAATTTAAAAAAATATAAAAATTTACAGGTAAGTAAACTAAATTCATTAAACGATCATGTGAGAAGTAAAATACTCTGCGTTGGCGGGGAATCGAACCGCGGTCTCCCGCGTGGTAGGCGAGAATTCTACCACTGAACCACCAACGCGACATACTGCAAAGTCATTTCTTCGCAATTTTACTATTTCGCTGTGGACACCAAGTTATTTTGAAAACTGGAACACTCCAAGTCATCAGTAATTACTCATTGTGATCTTATTTAGCTACGTTGTTTGGGGCACCCAAAATTAAAATGATGGACGTAGCAAAACGTGAACAGCACGAGGGCGCAATTCTTAGAATGGAAGCACGGAATAAAAGGCATTCCCTGTAAAGCATTTGAATTTTCCCATGCCGTGGATTGAACCCGAGTCATGGCCGTGAGGGCGCCAGATCCTAACCACTAGATCACATGGGAATTCGATCGACCAACATTGCAACCAGCACTAAATGCAAAAGGCTTTTCTAATCTGATATCGAACATTTTCAACAAAATTCCTCGGTATTCGTCACGACCATTCGCCATGATCTGGAGTCAGACGCGCTACCAGTTGCGCCACAAGGCCATCGTTAAAAAGATTTTGCAGTTGAATATCCACGATGCAGTCGTCGAAACAAAAGTCGTCGAATATTCTAAAAAGCATTCCCATGTCGGGAATCGAACCCGGGCCATGGCGGTGAAAACGCCAAATCCTAACCACTAGACCACATGGGACATTCATTCCTTTATTCGTACGTCTTTATTAAAATATATCATAAATATTGGAGTTGCAACAAACCTGCAACTTTACAGTACATATAAGATATAATTAGATTATTTACAAATGTGTTAACGTTACAGTTAGTATATACCGTATAACCAAATTTTAAAAGTAATTAAAAGTTGTTTAAAACGATCAGTGGACATAAGATATAATAATTAGATTATTTACAAATGTGTAAACGTTATAGTTAATATATACCGTATAACAAAATTCTAAAAGTCATTAAAAAGACACTTATTTAAAAATGATTGTTTAAAACGTTCTGTGTAAACTTTTGGCCGACATAAATTGATGATCGCGTTCTTCTTTAGACGTGTGTTGGAGGGACTCCAATCCACGTTTACTGCGATGAAAAATATGCTGCTGTCACGTGACCAAATTTTCATTTTTTCGGACAACTTTCGCAACTCGGTATTCCAAGTGTATACACGTGCGCGATATAAACAAGCGAAAATATCGCAAAATAAGGACGATTTGGAAGTTTTTTTGTATTTGTGGGTATATTTTAACTCCTGTAAGTGTAATATAGCGAAGTGAAAAATGGTAAGGAGAATAAGCGTGTTTCGGACATGACTGTTGCCGAACTAAAGGAGTATTTGAAAATGCGTGTCGAAATGGCAAACGGCTATTTAAAACCTGCTTTACTTCAAATTGCTCAAGCAGTGGAGAAAATGATGTTGCCGATTGACCCAAACCATGAATATGGAAATTCGGATCGCAAGAACGCAAGAGAAACATTTATTATTCATGGTATGGTCATACATCAGCCATTAGGAAGCTTAAGCATGTAGGACGGCAACACGACGACGACGGCAACCAATACAATGAGTCAATGAAAAGAAATAAATAATTAAAGTCCCAGGGGAGTTTCAGATGTGGTCGTCGTTCTGTTTACAACGGCAAATCACAGATTTTCACGTCTTTTATACAACGCCTGCATTGCAAGCCGTAACAAGTGCAACTTAAAATTCGGTCAGTAGAACTCTTCCCAAACATTTATGTTTTTGGAAGCTTCTTATACTGTATTACATTCATACGAATTATAATATACGACAAGTTTTCTTTATTATCATTTATTTGAAGGAATTTGTTTTGGCCGTCGTCGTCGTGTTGCCGTCCTACATGCTTAAGCTCGCTATTGTCATATCCAGTCGTGAACGACTTTATACTAGATTCGCCACCCTTCGGTTTGTATATTTTTAACTGTTTAATATACAGCTCAGCTGAGTATGATAAACAGGGACTTGCCTCATATAAATCATTCGAAGATTATAGAGGCTGCAAGCACATCGCAGCCTGTTTGTATTCGCTGGAGGATGTACTGCATAATCGGTAATCGCGAGAGTGTAACATCTGGTCCATGCCAGGTCATTAGTAGAAAAGCGCAAATATATTGATTATAAAATATAACTTACTTTATTCCCATCAGCTGTAGCTGGTATCGGATCAGGATAATCCGCTGTGGGTCCATTTTCGTCAATAAAATGAAAACCGCATAACTATCTTCCCGACAGACGAACTTGTCGCCTCGACAACATGCATTTATCCAAATTTGCCTTCTTTCCTTAGATTTCTTCTCACTTGGGAAACTGTGGAAAGATACTGAAGTCCCATTGTCCTTTTTTAAGCGTGCTGGTTACCTCGAATCGCTTTTGCATATTCCCCAAGCACATCTCTTTACCATAATTTGTGAATCGCTTATAGTATAATCATGGATAGTATAATCGAGGCCGTCGAGCGAAATATATCCCTATATTTTCGTACCCACACAACGGGAAATTTTTCTCTTCGCTACATATTACACTTACAGGAGTTAAAATATACCCACAAGTACAAAAAAAACCTTTCAAATCGTCCTTATTTTGCGATATTTTCGCTTGTTTATATCGCGCACGTGTATACCCTTTGAATAGCGGAGTGCGAAAGTTGTCCGAAAAAATGCAAATTTGGTCACGTGACAGGAGCATATTTTTCATCGCAGTAAACGTGGGCAGAACACTTAACCTTCTGATCTGGAGTCAGACGCGCTACCAGTTGCGCCACAAGGCCATCGTTAAACAGATTTTGCACTTGAATATCCACAATGCAGTCGTCGAAACAAAAGTCGTCGAATATTCTAAAAATTATTCCCATGCCGGGAATCAAACCCGGGCCATGGCGGTGAAAACGTCAGATCCTAACCACTAGACCACATGGGACATTCATTCATTCATTCGTACTTCTTTATTAAAATATATCATAAATATTCGAGTTGCAACAAACCTGCAACTTTACAGTACATATAAGATATAATTAGATTATTTAAAAATGTGTTAACGTTACAGTTAGTATATACCGTATAACCAAATTTTTAAAGTCATTAAAAGTTGTTTAAAACGACAGTGGACATAAGATATAATAATTAGATTATTTACAAATGTGTTAACGTTATAGTTAATATATACCGTATAACAAAATTCTAAAAGTCATTAAAAAGACACTTATTTAAAAATGATTGTTTAAAACGTTCTGTGTAAACTTTTGGCCGACATAAATTGATGATCGCGTTCTTCTTTAGACATGTGTTGGAGGGACTCCAATTTCTGTCCATGTGGATGATGATGGCAATTTTTAACTAAATTGATAAGATCATGCGAGACGTAAAATACTCTGCGTTGGCGGGGAATGGAACCCCGGTCTTCCGCGTGGCAGGCGGGAATTCTACCACTGAACCACCAACGCGATATACTGCAAAGTCATTTCTTCGCAATTTTACTATTTCGCTGTGGATTTAAACAACACCAAGTTATTTTGAGAACTGGTACACACTTCGTCAGTAATTACTCATTGTGATCTTTTTTAGCTGCATTGTTTCCGGCACCGCAAATTAAAATGATGGACGTAGCAAAACGTCAACAGCACGAGGCCACAATTCTTAAAATGGAAGCACGGAATTTGAATTTTCCCATGCCGGGAATTGAACCCGGGCCATGGCGATGAGAGCGCCAGATCCTAACCACTAGACCACATGGGAATTCGATCGACCAACATTGCAACCAGCACTAAATGTAAAAGGCTTTTCTAATCTGATATCGAACATTTTCAACAAAATTCCTCGGTATTCGTCATGACCTTGAAGTGATTTGAACACTTAACCTTCTGATCTGGAGTCAGGCGCGCTACCAGTTGCGCCACAAGGCCATCGTTAAACAGATTTTGCCCTTGAATATCTACTATGCAGTCGTCGAAACAAAAGTCGTCGAATATTCTAAAAAGCATTCCCATGCCGGGAATCGAACCCGGCCAGGCCATGGCGGTGAAAACGCCAGATCCTAACCACTAGAACACATGGGACATTCATTCCTTTATTCGTACGTCTTTATTAAAATATATCATAAATATTGGAGTTGCAGCAAACCTGCAACTTTACAGTACATATAAGATATAATTAGATTATTCACAAATGTGTTAACGTTACAGTTAGTATATACCGTATAACCAAATTTTAAAAGTCATTAAAAGTTGTTTAAAACGATCAGTGGGCATAAGATATAATAAGTAGATTATTTACAAATGTGTTGAATTGAATTGAATTTATTAATTTGTCACAATTGGTTGATACAACAATTTAGAAAAGTAATAAGATAGAAGAGACAAGAAATGAAAAAATTGTGACGAGGTAGTCCAACTAGAAGCCAAGGCTTATTAATTGCTAGACTACCTCATGTCAAATATTAAAGAATAAGTTATATCTAAATATATATGAGGTAGAATAGTGAGCAGACATATAATAAGGAAACTAATATAATACAAGGACACACACATAATATCAAAACGAAGATACTTAGATCCACACACCTAGATGTAAATTAGATACTATTTAGTTACTAAAAATCATCGGACAAATTATCGAAAGTTAAATGCTTTTTAAGATTCGATTGGAATGAATACACAGACATGGCGTTCCGTAAATTCTGGTCCAAGGAGTAAAAAATACTGGACCTTGATAGTAGACAGAAAATTGTCGCAATTTTGTTCTACAAAATGGTATACTAATTAGGTTCGAACTTCTGGTATTGTAGGTATGTACCTCGCTATTTACCAAAAGAAATTCTTAAATCTAGGAGGAAGAGAATTTCTAGAAGCAAGATACATAAATTTTCCCAAGCAGAATAGATAAATATCATTCAGTTTGAGAATCACACTCTCTTTAAATAGAGGAGAAGTATGAGCATCATATTCCTTCTTATTAATTATTCTGATTACACGTTTTTGAAGCAATACGATGCGTTCCAGGTTAGACTGATAAGTTGAACCCCATACCAAAATACAATAATGCAAGTACGGATAGATTAATGAAAAGTACAAAGTTCTTAAACAAGATTAAGAGAGGAAAAACTCGATTTGTAAATTATTTCAATTGATTTGGAAATTTTACGTGAGATATCCAAGATAAATTTTCATCGAGAACAACTCCGACGAAAACAACCTCATTAACCCGTTTGATTTTAGTATTATTAATTTCTATACTAAACTCAGGTATAATATCTCTTTTGCCTAGTTTTGAAAATCATAAAACTAGATTTTTGAATATTAATTGAAAGTTTATTGGCTTTAAACCACTCGGACAGCTTGAGCAATTCACTATTAATTGTATTCATTATAAACGAAAGATCATTGTGAGAAAGAAATAGATTAGTATCGTCAGCAAATAGGATAAAATTAAGAATAGTGGAGACATTGCAAATATCATTTATATACAACAAGAAGAAAAGTGGACCAAGAATTGATCCTTGGGGAACACCACATTTAATTTCATTAGAAGATGATTGAATACCATTGTATTCAACAAATTGGTATCTATCACTAAGATAATTTCTTATCCATTCAAGTGCTAAACCACGGATACCATAATGCTGCAATTTTTCGAGCAGTATCTTGTGATTTACAGTGTCGAATGCCTTTGAAAGGTCGATAAAAATACCAACAGTGAATTTCTTCTGATCAATAGAAGAGGTTATACTGTCAACCAGATGCAGAAGTGCTAAAGCTGTCGAATGGTTTTTTCTAAAGCCATACTGGTTATTGAACAGAACCTCATTTTTGTTTATGAAATCCATAATGCGGTTACACACAGTCCTTTCTAGTAATTTGGAAAATATTGGCAAAACCGATATAGGTCGATAATTGGAGAATAGATTGTTTGGTTCAGATTTATAAATGGGGACAACTTTAGCGATTTTCATCTGGTCGGGAACTATGCCGGTTTCAATTGACAAATTTACAATATGAGTTAAAGGTTTGCAAATAAATTCAAATGAAACCTTAACGGCCCACATTGGGATTTTGTCGCAGCCAACCGCGGTTTTAGGACGGAATGATTTAAAAATTTCGTTTAGCTCCAATTCCGAGACTGGTTGCAAAAAAATAGAATTGATAAAATTACCGTTAAGATAAGAGTGGTGAGTATATTGGGATACAGGAATATTTTTCCCTAAATTTAAGCCAATATTAGAAAAATAATTACAAAATTGATTAGCTATTTCCATCGGGTCAGAAATATTTCTATTATTAGTAAAAAAGTTAGACGGTAGTTTATTCACTTTGTTCCCTCTCCTTTGTAATATCTCGTTTAAAACTTGCCAAGTTTTCTTAACATTTGTTTTCGCTAAGTTCAATTTTTCTTCATAATGAAGGCGTTTTGCTGAACGTAACAGAGAACTCAACTTATTTCTATATTGTTTGTAATTTATTTCGTTTTGTGAGGTGGGAAACTTCAGAAATTTTCGGTAAAGTCTGTTCTTTTTCCTAATAGATTTAAGTAAGCATTTGGAAATCCAAGGTTTTGTTAAACAATGTTTAGATGCTTTGATGTGTTTAAGAGGGAAACATTCATTAAATAAGGCTGTATATTTATGGAGAAATGATCCGTAGGCATTTGCCGGATTGTTATATTCATCGAGATTCTCCCAATTAGTATTACGTAATTGATCGAGAAAATTGATCACATTTAATTGCTTCTTATCACGAACTACAAAATATGAGTTGACATTGCACATTTGCACCTATCTTGCTGTTCAGAGAAGATACTAAAAATGGGTAAGTGGTCAGATATATCAGTAAACAATAGACCGCTTAGAGCGTGGTTGTCAAGATTATTAGTAAAAATATTATCAATTAGGGTTGCCGAATGTGAAGTAATTCTAGTAGGATGTGTTATTAAGGGCAAAAACATATTAGTGTACATTATATCTAGGAACTTACTAGTTAATTCATGATTTAAGTGGTTCATTAAATTAATATTCCAGTCCCTAAAATATAACATGGCTTGTTTGTTTTGGAAATTTCACTAATCAAATATTCCGTATTGATGATGAATTCAGGGTCTAGCTATTTTGCGGGCCGCGGGCTGCGGGTCAGTTTTTGCGGGCTGCTGGTCAAAACAATTGCGGGCCGCGGGCCAAATTGCTGACCTAACTAATTTTTTGTTGCATGCCATAAATGGCATGCAACTTTCATTAGTGAGCGTACCGGTCACGTGGCAAATTCGTAAAATACGACAAATACTGAGTTTTCCGACGAGCATTTCATCACTCATGCTCGAGGAAAGGCAAAGAAAAATGTTTGAGTGTTCGCGGAAAATTTACATAATTGAGGGCTTTTAAAAATAGATCAAGGTAGATAAAGCTTTGCTGGTTTTAATTTTCCTTATATTCTGTTATTTGTTGTGATTCTGGATCAGTTGTGCTCGCAATAAAATATTAATCATAAAATGAATGATTATTTATCAGTCGTTTTTAATATTTATATCGTGAAGCCTGGCTACGCTATCAAAATACTCAATTTTTTATATATGCTCAATATATACTATATTGTGTGCAAAACTTCAAAACTACAGTACATTTTGTAAATAACATGAAATATATTAAAATATCAAACAAAATTCTCATTATACTATTGAAATTTAATACAACGAAATAGTATTCTACGTCGATAATTTCAATCATAGTTTAATAATTATTTTCAATCTATAGTAATTCGCCGTTTCCATGTTTTTTTTTTATACTTTCGACAAAGCTACAATAAAGCTAAATTTGTAGGAAATAACATTATTTAGTTATAAAATAGTATAAAAGGAAATCTAACAGTCAATCGCTTTCGATAAAACCTGGCCTTGTTTATATTACCGTCGTTTGCAACTGACGATGAACTGTCGCTCATAAAAACATTGCCTATTCGCGTGAGAATCTTAAGTTTTCTTATTTTGACATAATAGCTATTTTTCAATAAATATATTGATATTAAACTTATTGAATCAATATTTTAAGTTTCAGGCCAGTTGTACCAAAAGTTATAAGCGGTAGCGCATTATAACCAGGGCACAGAAAGGGTCATACAGAAGCCCAATTTCTTGGTTTTTCCTATGATTTTCCAATGATTTTGGCGGTTAGCACTTTTTTCCATCCAGCAAACCGCCCTATCGATTTTCTAAAGTCGTTTTTTTGCATTTTTTTATTAATTCGATTAGGGTTAGAGTTAGGGTTGGGGTTAGGGTTAGGGGTTAGAGTAGGGACTAGGTGTAGGGTTTGTGTCAGTTACATAGCCATTTAAAGGCCGCTTTCCAGTTCAACCGTATCGTACACGAGTAAAAACGCTCAGGTTGATGCAATACTGATGAAAACGGGATTGAACAATGTTTTGCTGCCCACATTGTTCATAGCTGTCAACAATATTGAACAATATTCAGGCTCAACAATAGTGTTCAATATTGTTGACAAGTGTGAACAATGTGGGCCGCAAAACATTGTTCAATCCTGTTGAGCAGCGGGCTCGGCGTTTTTTGCCGTGTACCGAAACGTAGCGTATTTCTTTGTTTCCGGAGCGCTAGAGTGGAACTAATGATTTGGTAACACAAAAGAAAATGCTATGATACGGTCGAAGTGGAAAACAGGTTTAACACCTCTCCTCTCTTCCGAAAATGACGTCAGGTCAGTTTGCTGGATGGAAAATAGTGCTACTATTAGGATTGGTGTACAGTTATCCCGGTCGAAACAGGTTTTAATGTCTGGTACGACTAATAAACTGAGATTCCATTATATTACAAAAAGAATGAATTTAAGAAAAAATTCGTATGCATATGATTACGAATAACATTAGACATAGAATAGCCCGCATTTTTTGGCCCGCAGCCCGCATTTTTTGGCCCGCAGCCCGCATTTTTTGGCCCGCAGCCCGCATTTTTCGGCCCGCAGCCCGCAACCCGCAGAATAGTTAAACTCATGAATTCATCAATACTGACATCAGGGGGTCTGTATACGATACCAACGATTATATTCTTCCCATGGGGTTTGGGAATTTCAATAAAAAGTGACTCAGTACGAATTGACTGATTAAATCCTAGGTCTGAGCGAAATTCTACCTCATCATAGTCTACGTCACATAGGAATCACGTGAGATTGCGCGAGCAAGCTATATCATGTGCCGTAAGCTTTCGATCATGGCGGACGACAAGGTGAACGAAGCACAAGGAAAATCCAATTTTTCGGACGAAGACGAGGAAAGGTTGCTCGCCGAAGAGGGCGAACAAACACAAGATTATGTCACCACCGGTGACACAAATAATGATTCCACTAGGATGTGGGAGGCCATCAAGGGCCTTGGAAAGAAACTCGATCTTTTGGCGGGAACGCCAAATACACGCATCACCGATGCTCCACTAAAGCGGAAAATACCGCACACAGTGACTAAAGAGTCAAAAAATGACGCAGAAACCCCACCGGGGCTATCTCGTCAAAAGAAGCGAAAATCTTCATCAGTTTGCGACGATGCATCTGACGATTCTGATCGAGACGTCACAGCCTTGCTCGACAAGGAGGACGAACAAGATGGCGACGAGAGCGATAAACTCTTGCAAGAGATTGAAGAAGAATACAACAGCGAGGACAAAACAGGTCCGGACGTAAACGTTCATCTAGCAAACCTAGTCAACAAAAGGTTTGCTGGGAAGCTCAAAGAAGCAAAGCTCAAAGAGAAATGCGAGCTGTATATCCGACCCGGAAATTGTGATAAACTCAAAGTTCCTCTCGTGAACCCCGAACTGTGGGGGAAACTTGGACCACCGGTCAAAACACAGGACTTGAGAATCGCAAATGTCCAGCAGACCATAGTGAAAGCAACTGTTGCACTCACCGAGGCAACAGAAAGAATTACAAAAGTCAAGGGGAACATCGACGGGAAACAGCAAATTATAACCTCTTTGACTGACTCACTTGCTCTGCTGGGACACGCAACTTATGACCTATCGTTGCGACGGCGAGACATCATGAGGCCGTCAATAAATCGAGAGCTTCGTGCTCTTTGCAGTCCACAAATCCCTGTTACAGAGTTCCTGTTTGGGGATGATGTACAAAATAGTTTAAAAACTATTACAGAGTGCAACAAGATTGCCAGTTCAACTGTAAAGCAAGGGTCGGATTACAAACACAAACCGACCTACTCTAGAGGTGGAAATTACAAGCCTCAAGCCAGTCAAGGTTATGGGCATGGAAGCAAGCCTTTTTTAGGCCAGCGCAAAGGCTACCAGCCATTCAAAAAGAAAGTGTGGACACCACAGCACAAAAGGGAGGACATGAAGTGATCCTCACCGAAACACTACAAACAGTAATTGATAATGTAAGTAAATTTGATAGTCTTTTACCACATATTATGACAGGTCTAGAGCAAAATGTTAGGACCTTGAAAGCAGGTAATCTTTCTAGTTTCCTTAACAGATGGAAATCTCTTACATCTGATAAAGAAATTATTGACATGGTAACAGGTACAACTATTGATTTTGAGCATGTACCAGTCCAATCTAGGCCACCGGCCATACAAACATTCTCAGACCCTGAGGTACAAATCATTGAGACTGAGCTCAGTAAACTCCTAAGCAAAGGGGTAATTAAAAAAGTTGAACGTGAAAAAGGTGATTTTCTTTCGCCCATATTCCTCAAGGCAAAGAAAGATGGCTCATACCGCCTAATTTTGAATCTCAAAGCTTTGAATAAAAAATATCACTTATCAGCATTTTAAAATGGACACACTTTTGTCAGTAGTCAAACTTATGAGACCAAATTGCTTTATGGCCACCATCGACCTCAAAGATGCATATTATTCAGTACCTGTGTCTGAAAAACATCAGAAATTTCTCAAATTCCACTGGAAAGGAACCTACTACAAGTTTACCTGCTTTCCTAATGGGCTATGTTTCTGTCCTAGGAAATTTACAAAGCTTATTAAGCCAATTCACTCTTCGCTTAGATTGCAAGGTCATCTCCTTGCTGGTTATATTGATGACAATTACAACCAAGGGGACACTTACCAGGAATGCTTGACTACTGTGCTTGAAACAGTAAAACTGGTAACCGAGTTAGGGTTTTGTGTGCACCCTGAGAAATCATGCCTTATACCATCTCAAGAAATAATTTTTCTTGGGAATGTTTTAAACTCTGTCACCATGACTATTACACTAACCGATGAGAAAAAACAGAAAATTGTGAAGGCATGTAAGGCACTGCAGAGACAGCAAAATCACACTATCCGGGAGGTTTCTAAGGTGATAGGGCTCATGGTGTCTAGTTTTTCAGCAGTTATGTATGGACCATTATACTATAGACAACTAGAGCGGGATAAATCTCTAGCTGTTAAAGACCATAAGGGAAACTATGATGCACCAATGGCTCTATCACCTGTGGCCAGAATAGAATTACAATGGTGGGTAGACAATATTGACAAAGCATTCAATGTCATCAACCATGAACCCCCATCAATTACAATCAATACAGATGCATCAAAAATTGGATGGGGTGGTGTATTGGATGGTACAACTTGTGGGGGACATTGGTCACCCCAAGAATCAGAAGAGCATATTAATTGCCTTGAATTAAGGGCTGCTCTTTTTTCAATCCAATCACTAACACCTGACAGGAGCAATACCCACATTAGATTGAAGATTGACAACACGACAACAGTGGCTGCTATTAACCATATGGGCACTAGCCACTCAATACAATGTAACAATGTAGCTTTAGATATTTGGCA